CCGCGTGGGCAGGCCAGCTCAGCCCAAGCCCACACCAGGGCTGGCGCCCAGTCCTGCTCACACCCTTTCCCGTGGGTTGAGGAACACAGGTTCAGAAATTCCCACGACTGCCAGCAGCCCAAGTAGCCCAGCTCATGTATTTAATGAGAAAAACCTCCAAAGCAGGACACCCAAGATGAATAGATCCCAAAGGGCCCAAAAGTGGTGACGCTCAGCCCTTAAACCCCTATCCTCACCTAGCACCTCTGTGGAAGGGAACAGCTCTTTGAACTCACACAGTGGGTTCAGGATGTAGTTATGTTCTATTGTGCCCCACAGCTTGGGACCCAGGGGCCCTATCCACCTACAAAGGGCATCGACCCAGTTCATAGGTCTTCCAAGTGAACAAGAATCACCAGCAGGGTTTCCTGGGAAACAAAGGAGCCTTCACAGCCCTATCGGGACAGGCTTAGCTTTTTGTCTAGGACAGGGCAAGGCACAGAGGGTAGTCTGAGCTCTCTGCCTCTTCAGCAGAGATGTGGCCCGCTACTGCTACAGAGGAGGCCTCTGTCGGGTAGCTGGGGGCCAGGAGCTGTGTGGCTGACGAACGACCCACCGCATGGGTGACAGCCCAGTGTACAACTCCAGCACCCACAAGGCCCTGCTCCCCTCACCCTGAGAGTCAACTCTTCCTTCTTCCAGACTACTCCAGGGTCCGAACCTACCTTCTACCTCCATCCCAGGTACTGGGGCAAGGAAGGGTGCGGGGAAGGGCAGAAGCTCCACCTACAAGCTCTGCTAAGGCGAAGACAGAAACCCTAGGGAGGCAGTCCTACTCCGTCCACTAGCAATAAAAACTCTAGCGGAGGGTGGGAGGTAGAGCGCACACAAAAAGGTGACCTGTCCTGAGGGCCACAAGTTCACTCCGCCTTCCTACGGAGAGCCGGTCCCTCAAACAGCTCCTTGCAAATTCCCCTCCAGAATTACCATGCCTCCCACTCCCAACATGCCAACTCTGAGCCTGAGAGAGGCAGGTCCAAGTCTTGGGCTCCTGGCCCAGGGCCACTCTCAGGTCAGGGGCCACACCCTGCGTCACAGAGCACAGGGCCTGCTGAGCAGTTTGAGCCACATCCTTTGCATCCGAGACGGGCTTCCCTGGTCCCCACACTCCGTCTGGCAAAGCTCACAGCCCAGACATCCCACCCAAAGGCACCAGCAGTTTCTCATCTCGGCTCCTCCTGGCTCCAGCCACAGGCAGACAACTGTTCCGAGCCTCCTCCCCGAGCTTCCACGGCCTCGTGCCTCCCGGCAAGCTGAGCCAACAGAAGACCAGGAGGATGGAAGCCACGCAGGCCCCAAACTAGGCAAAGGGGGAAGGCAACAGGGGAGGGGAAAAAAAAGGCACCAGGCTGACAAATTCATTTTTGCAATCGGCCCATTTCTGTTTGTCTGCTCAGACACAGCTCCAGGCATCTGCACAAACCAGATGGAGGAGGCTGCTATTTCTAGAAGAAAAAAAAGGGGGGGGGCTGGGGAGGTGGGGGTGGGGGAGGTGGAGACAGAGGGCCTTAGACAGGGTCTGTTTGCCCTAAAACCTCAGACAGAATGATGATATCCCATCCCCAGCACTACCAGACAGGGTTCCCATTCAAGAAAGGGCTAGGGCTGGGGCTGGGGTGAGGTGGGCAGGGGGAGAAGAAAGGGAGAGAAAGTTAATTAGCCAAAGTCAGCTACAATGGGCCCCCTCCTGGGGCTGCATCAGGTTTTCATTCATGAGCAAGCGACAGTGCTCCGAAGTGCCAAGAACTGCCACCCCCCCACTGTCTCTTTCTCACACCACCCCCCCCAACAAGAGTGAGTCCTCTAGCAGGCTGGCTGAGCCTGATGCCGTGTTCCAGACATCCCTCCTCAAAGGGATGTGAGTAGGAAGAATTAATTATTAAAGAGCAGCTGGTACTTCGGCACCAACCGCATTACCCCCAGCTCCTAAGGCTGATCCCCCTCCTCTGCCATACAGAAACAACAATGACCCCCATTCTCAGGCCCCCTACCTCAGCACACTGCTAAGATAGCACCCCTAAGAAACGGAAAGCAAAGCTCTTATCTCTGCAGCTGCTTGGGGTGGGTGGTGCACGTGACACCATTACCCCTACTCTAGATTACATGCCCCTTGGAGGAGACACGGAGGAAGAGGAGGGACTGGCCCAGAGCAAAGACTTCCTACACGCCTGCCCCCACGGAACGTGCATCTGGGACCTCTCTGGCCCCTGGTGCATCACAAGCAAGCGGCTAGGAGCCTACTCCTTTAATTCAGTTAATTCAGGCTCTCAGCTTTGACAGGACCTCGTCCAGATCCAGTGTGAGAGGAAAGAGAGAAGAGGCAGACTTAAGAAAGAAGGAGGAGCCGGGCGGTGGTGGCGCACGCCTTTAATCCCAGCACTCGGGAGGCAGAGCCAGGTGGATCTCTGTGAGTTCGAGGCCAGCCTGGTCTCCAAAGCGAGTACCAGGAAAGGCGCAAAGCTACACAGAGAAACCCTGTCTCGAAAAACCAAAAAAAAAAAAAAAAAAAAAAAAAAAAAAAAAAAAAAAAGAAAGAAGGAGGAAGAGAACCAAGTTCTCCCCAAGCTTTGTTGTTTAAGGAGGGAAAGAAAAGGGAGGACTGGAATGAAAGCAGCCAGCCCCCAACATGGCTCATCCATAAACCCATCTCAACAGCCTGCATGGGCTCCTGGCTCCCAGTGTATAGGGCTTCAGAGACTGAGAATCCTCCCTGCCTACACCCTTAGAACCCAAGTGGAGAGCCAACAGGACCCAGTGACACGATTAGCCAGTCTTCTGGCCCAAAGTCCTCAATCTCCCACCCCCTGGCTCCTTTTGTTCCTAAGATCTGGCTCTATCTTCCCCTCCCATTGAACCCTAAACCTCTTCTCTCCATTGCCATCCCCAAGATCCAAAGCTAATTCCAGGTCCTGGAAGCACAGTGGTCACTGTCAGGGTGCTGAGTCCCTTCCACACCCCCCAAAAGCAACTGCAGCTGCTACCCTTCCTCTTCAGGGACAAAGCTCATCTCAGAAGGCCAAACACAGGGACATCAAGTGGTCACCTTCTCCCCGAAATGAAGCACACCCTACTCCCCGCCCCCAGCTCCTAGATTAATTACTTATCACCCAGCCAGTTCTCATCTTCCTGAGGGCCTCAGGGATGGGTGGGGTGGGGAAGCCGACTCCCCCAAGTTAACAAGGCACTATTAGAACCCCTGCCCCAAGAGAAACAAACCCAAGGCGAAAACTGGGCACGAGGGTGGGGTGGGGAGGATCTACCCTAGCCAAAGAAGATCACCAATTCATCTCCCAGCTTCCCCCCCACCCCACCCCGAGCTCGAGGGTGTCAGACAGAAGAGGGTGGTAATAAACGCAGTAACGCCTCACAGGCAAGGGGTGAGAATAATAAATAGCACAGAGAAGGTGGGCCCCGCAGTCCCCTTCCACCTGCATGGACGTCAAGGACATAAAATCAAGGGTATGTTCTTCGTCACTTGGAGAAGCCCTGTGGGTGAGCTGCGCCCCTCACCTCAGAGTAACAAGAAAGGGGTGTCCAGTGAAAAGAGGGTCTGCCAGAATCCAGGTGCAAGGCTCAAATCGCTGTAGCAACGGATTATGAGCCGCCAGGGAGGAGACAAATCAGACATCCCCGGCTGGTCTGCGGGCCATTTGGGGGCGCGGGGTGCGGGAAGATCGGCCCCTCCCTTACCTGCAGAGAAGGAGCCCTGCAAGGGAGGGGTGGGGAGAGGCGCGCGCGTCGAGCCAGAGGCGACACTCCCCGGCCCCGCGACGCTCCCTGGGGGTGCGGGCTGGCTCGGCGCGCGCGCCGGGAGGAAGGACAGGGGCGCAAGGAGCCCGCGGGCAGCGACGGCGGGAGGACCGGGCGCCGCTGGGCGTCCCGGAGCCGCGGGAGGGAGGGTCCCGGCGGGTGCGGCGCGCTCACCCGCTGCGGCTCGAGCTCCGGCTTCGCGGGCGGCGGCGGCAGCAGCGGCGGCAGCAGCAGCGGCAGCGCCTCCTCGACGGCTCCTCCATCTTTGCGGCTGCTCCTCCGGCTCCGCTCGCCGCCGCCACCAACAACAACATTCGGAGACGTCACTCCCGTCACGTGACCCGACCCCGAGCTAAAAATAGACCCAGACCCCCCCCCCTTCGGGCTTCAGCCGAGAACCCCTCCCCTCCCAGTTGGCCCTCCCCCCAGGTGGGCGGGGCCCGTAGCGCCACCGTGACAGCTTCTTAAAGGGCCGATGCCCAGCCGAAGGTTAGGCTGGGGCGGAGGTGGCGGAGAGGTACCCGATCTCTGCGCCAAGTAATGACATGAGTGCAACCCAGATCCCGGCGGCTGCTGCAGGGCCTGGATGTGTGGGATCTACGATTTTGTCCTCTGCGCTTTTTCGACTTCCTTTTCAAACAGTGGATGGTGCAATCTTTGCCCGCCTGAGCTGTTTCCCTAACACGCCCTTCCCGTGCTAGGGGGAGGGTATCCGGGGTGGAAACCTAGGGGCCGCCTGGGAAGTGGAAGACCCTGCAGGGGCAGTAAAGCTGGAAGCTTAGCTTGAACAGGTCTCTAACCCACCGGGCCTAACCCCGGCACAGCGCTGCACCTTGGTAACCTCTTTGGAGAAAGCCAGCGTAGGTTGTAACTAACTATCCCTGGCCCTCAAAGGATCAAACCAAGAGCCTGAAAGACTGCTGGTCTTCAACTTTGGTGCCAGCCTCACTACACATCAGTGGGACACGACATGACTGCGTTATTAAACTTACGTAGTTTTGTCAATGACCTAGCAATTCCCCTAGCAAAAATATATTCTCAGGAAATATTGTACTTCAAAATGAGTGTAGACGGAGATTGTTTATAGTAATATGAGATGTTGGAAACCTAACTATCTGCAAATATCTGCAAATAATCTAAGGGACATCCATCAGTGAACTATCATCCAGACACTAAATTATACAGAAATTAATTATATAAAATTACATAGAAAGCTAGCAGTTAATCTGCTTATCTGAATGTTTCTTCAAAAATCTAGAAAGAGCTGGCAATAATGTTGTCAAGTAATAAGCCTTAAGGACAAGTGACTGTCTTTAAGATCCCTAAAAATGGCTACAATATTGCAAAAAAAAATTATTATTATATAGGTCTACAGCTTGGAGCATAGCTTAGAAGTGGAACATGTGCTTAGCATCTGAGGCCTGTGTTCAATACACAGCATCAAAAACAAAACAACATGGTTATACTGACATGTTCATTTATTACACACACACATACATTCACATACACATTTTAAAGCAGAGGGTGCTGGTGAAAGCCTGTAGTCTGCTCTTGGGAGGTAGAAGCAGGAGGATATCTGCAAGTTCCAGGACAGCCAGGGCTACAGAGAGAACTTCTCTGAAAGAGAGAGAGAGAGAGAGAGAGAGAGAGAGAGATCATTCCCTCAGCCAGGCAGTGGTAACACACGCCTTTAATCCCAGCACTTGGGAGGCAGAGACAGGCAATGTCTGTGAGTTCGAGGCCAGCCTGATCTACAGAGCGAGATCCAGGACAGTCAGGGCTACACAGAGAAACCCTGTCTTGAAAAAAAAAAAAAAAAATCATTCTCCACTCCAGTGAATTTGAGTTCAGTACCAGCCTGAGCTACATGAGATCCTATCTCAAAAATAAAAATGTATATGAGAGGGGCAAAGCAAGACCCAAAGAAGAATACTGATTTGTTCCAGTACCAGTAGTATATGCAGAAGCAAACGAAGTTCATGTATCTGAGTCTATATGCATATAAAACTCTGGGAAGCCGGGCGGTGGTGGTGCAAGCCTTTAGTCCCAGCACTCAGGAGGCGGAAGCAGGTGGATCTCTGTGAGTTCGAGGCCAGTCTGGACTACAAATCAAGTTCCAGGAGAGGCTCCAAAATACAGAGAAACCTTGTCTCAAAAAAAAAAAAACACAAAAAGACCCTAGGAAATATAAACCAAACGTTTACTTTTCTTGTCTTTTTCTGTATCCATGAAATCTGAAAACACCATGTGTTAAAGTAAAAGACATACATAAAGAACCCTGTGGGGTTGGGGATTTAGCTCAGTGGTAGCTCAAGGCCCTGGGTTCGGTCCTCAGCTGGGGGTGTGGGGGGGGGGGGGAGGTGGGGTGGCAGCAGCGCATGCCTTTAACCCCAGCACTCGGGAGACAGAGGTAGAGGCAGATGGATCTCTGTGAGTTCGAGGCCAGCCTGGTTTACAGAGCAAGTTCCAGGACAGCCAGGGCTACACAGAGAAATTCTGTCTAGAAAAACCAAAAGGAAAAAAAAAAAGAGGAACCTTGTAATAAACGGTAAAGGTTTTTCTTATGAAGTACCTCATGAATGTCCCACGCCCATCCATCTCCATCCTCACACCTTGTTCTTAGCCAAATGACATCTTACCTGAGATACTGTAGCTGCCTCCTGGCAACTAAATCCTTCCCTGCCTTCCTCTGAGCCTCCTCCAAAAGTCAGAGTGACAATTTAGAATGCAAATCTACTAAAGAACAGTTTTGAAAACAATTCGGATTTTGTCACTAAAACTTGTCACTCGTCCAGGAATGTGTATAACAACTCGCCAGAGAAACTTGTTCAGAGATGTTCATTCTCGAACCCCACCCCACCCCCAAAGCTTGTTGTTCAGAGTGGGAAAGAGGCCCAGAAATCTTCATTTTTAATACAAACCCAGGAGATTTTGCTGCAGCTGGTCCTCTTCTGGATCTTGGAAAAATACCATCCCAAAGCTTGAGCATGACATGACCCCTGCCTACCCAGCCTCCCTGCCCACCCAGCCTCCCGGCCCAAGCTGAGCTTTCTGGAGTCCAGCCCTGTACCTTTCTCTCTCCAGTTCTTGAAGAATGTGTACTTTGCTCTTCCCAGCCTTTGCACAAACTTGTTTCCATTTTCAATTTCTGGAATGCCCCTCCCCACTTCTCTTTGCCTCCAGTGCATCTGCCAGAGTTCAATTAAATATTACTTCCTGCAAGAGGCCGTTCTTTGTCTTTTAATTAAACTAGATCCCCTTGTTATATATGCTTTCATTGACTCTGATAATAATTTGTAAACATGTGTCTCTTTGCAGAATTATTGACTCAAAATCTGTCCTCTTCTCTACTAGAAGTCTTTGTGGGGAGGATGCTAGGTATCAAACCAGGGCCTTACACATACCAAGCACAAGTTCTGCTACTGAGCTACACCCTCCAAGCACTAAGAACAAGGGTTTTGAATACAGAATCTGCACATCTACTAGAATGGTGCTGGAGAGACTTGATGAACTCTGTTGACTGAAAGAAAAGACAATAGCGAACTTCTGCCCTCCGGTATTCTCCTATTGTGCTGCAAGCCTGTATTTAAGACCTCCTCCCTCCTTCAATAAACGGCATTCGGCATTTTTAAAAAAAAAAAAGCCAAGTTACAACACAGTAACCAGACTTCATGCGAGAATCCATGACAGACAGCCAGACCTCCTCCAAGAATATAGAAAGCATTCAACATTATGTAAAACCCTGTAACAATGCAGGATTTTTTTCTTTTATTCTTTCTCTGTTGTAGAATATTATTTTAAGGTGTGTTACTTTTGTTTATATTGCATTTGTTTAACTCTGTGAAGCTGTGATACTGTGTCTGTCTAAAACACCTGATGGTCTAATAAAGAACTGAATGGCCAATAAAAAAAAAAAACCAAGATAGTGTCCTCAGACTGGACAATACACTCCGAGCAGAAAAGTCACTCCAATGCAGACATCCCACATCACTTTGAGTCAGGCATCCTCCAGTCTTCTTCCTGTAACCCAAACCCATTGCTATGACTGGTATTATTGTCAACTTGACACAAACTAGAGTCATTGGAAAGGAAGAAGCCTCAACTGAGAATATGCCCCTGCAAGATCAGCTGCAGCCAAGCCTGTAGAACATTTTCTTTTTTTTTTTTCGAGACAGGGTTTCTCTGTGTAGCTTTGCGCCTTTCCTGGTACTCGCTTTGGAGACCAGGCTGGCCTCGAACTCACAGAGATCCGCCTGCCCCTCTGCCTCCCGAGTGCTGGGATTAAAGGCGTGCGCCACCACCGCCCGGCCAAACATTTTCTTAATCAGGGATCCATCGGGGAAGGCCCAGACCCTTGTAGATGGTGCCACCTTTGGGCTGGCAGTCCTGGGTTCTATACGAGAGCTGACTGAGTAAGCCATGGAGAGCAAGCCAGTACTCCTCCAAGGCCTCCGCATCAGCTCCTGCCTCCAGGTTCCTGCCCCGTTTGAGTTCTTGTCCTGACTTCCTTCAACAATGGTGTGGAAGCATAAGCCAAATAAACCCTTTCCTGCATGTATATAAAAGCACCATGTGGATGGCTGGTGCCCTTGGAGATCAGAAGAGGGTCCTCTCAGAACTGGAGCTAAAGATGGTTGTGAGCCACTGTGTGAGTGCCAGGAATTGAACCCGGATCCTCTGCAAGAGCAGTCAGTGTTCTAAACCACGGAACCATCTCTCCAGCACCCTTAAGATGTCTCGTGGCAGAGGGTTGGGATTTCTCAGTTGCTTATGTTTGGCTTCCCTAAGTTGATTATGGGCTGTTTGGAGAAGGGGACATGCACAAGATCCTATGTCCGTTTGCCTTTCTAGCATCCATTATCTCACCTCACACAATCCTCAGTACTCAGTACAGGTTGAGGACCTTGTGCGAGAGAGGATGGCCAATCATAATCTCAAGGGACAGCTTCGCCTGTCACATCTCATTCTACACAAGAAAGAACCACGACTACAGAGGTCAAATAGCCAAAGGTTCATAGAAGCAACGCTGAGATTCAAACCCAAGTCTCTACACACAGGGAGCCAGGACTGGGGGAAAGCAGAGCTCTCCTGAGATCATCACCTCTGGCTCCCAGCAGCCATATGACCCCAGAAGTCACACAAATCTGCCATATGGGAGGTCAAGGGGTAAGCTCAGTGGCAGAACACATGTTTATTTTATACAAGGCCCTGGGTTCAGTCTTCAGTGCCCCGGCTCAAAAAAAAAAAGTAAAAAGATAGCCAGCATGATGCTGTGTGCCTCTAATCCTAGCACTTGAGAGGCGATGACAGGAGGGTCAGAAGTTCAAACTTAGCCTCCCACAGCAGGCTTAAAGCTGCCTATGCTACATGAAACTGTCTTAAAATAATTTAAGGGGTTGGGGATGTAGCTCAGTGGTAGAGCGCATACTTCGCATGTATGAGGCCCCGGGTTCGATCCCCGGCATCTCCACAAGTTTCTGCCGGGCGGTGGTGGCACAAGCCTTTAATCTCAGCACTCGGGAGGCAGAGGCAGGGGGACCTCTGTGAGTTTGAGGCCAGCCTGGTCTACAAAGTGAGTTCCAGGAAAGGCGCAAAACTACACAGAGAAACCCTGTCTCGGGAAAAAAAAAAAAAAAAAAAAAAAAGAGAGAGAAAATTTAAGCCAGGCAGCAGTGGCACACACCTTTAATCCCAGCACTTGGGAGGCAGAGCCAGGCAGATCTCTGTGAGTTTGAGGCCAACCTGATCTACAGAGCGAGATCCAGGACAGGCACCAAAACTACACAGAGAAACCCTGTCTGGGGGGGGAAAAAGATTTTAAGATGGGTGTGGCTGCACATAACTTCAATCCCAACACTTTGGAGGCAGAGGCAGGTAGAGCTCTGTGAGTTCGAGGCCAACCTGGTCTATATAGTGAGAACCCATCTAAAAAAATAACAACAACAATAATAAGTTTTTTTAAAAAAGAATTTGCCATACTGAAGAGAAGCCTTCAGATCTCCCCATCTCAGGTAAGTCAACACTGAGTAACTCAGCATTCCTTCCATGCCTGCTCCCTTCTGGAGAGACAGAAATGCTTCTTTTCTGGTTCTTACAGAAAACAGATCCACATATGCTGTTATAAGTCCCCCAGTGTAGGCAGGAACTCTTGCCAGGACCATTCACCATAGAAATCGGAGTGGAGTGAGCATCTCTTTAACCACCCACGCAGTTTTCCCAGGTAGAGTGAGCCTGCAAATGGAATCCAGCAGCTGACGGGGGCACTTCCGATTGTGGGAACCAATGGTGAATTTGGCTTCTTGGTAGAAGGAAGTATGTCTCAGTGGAAGTCACACACTTA